TTCGGCCAATGGAAGCAAAGAAGCTATTCATTGAAGAAGCAATGGATTGGGATGTTATATGCTGAACACCATCAGAGATAATACACTGAATACTCTCTGAAGATGAGTTCCGATTGCATGCTTCGTTCACTGCTTTCCACACCTTATCTGAGTCACCCTTGGCTTCCTCGATCATGTCACAGTAATATTTAGACTTGGCAGTTCGTACTAAGCCATTAACCTTGTTCCTAAGCTTTGCATACATTGACCAAAGACGCGCCGAGTTCGATTTTCGCGCCTTTCTATGCGCCCAGTCACGTTCTTTCATAGAATCACTTATCTGACTGTTCATCCATGGAAGAGGTATTCCCTTGACACGCCTTCTTTTTACTGGTGCGTGTTGATCAGCAACCTCCGAAAACATTTTATTCCACGTAAACAAGGCATCGTCGACGTTGTCCTCGTTTTCAACAATATGCCAGGGAATATTCCTAAGATCATCATTAAATAAAATCGGATTAAAATTCTTATAGGAGCGATACTCGAGTATTCTCGGTTTAGCCTTTGTTGTAATTCCAGCTTTAATTATGCAAAATACCAGAAAATGGTCGCTAAGCGGTACCGGAACAACACCAGATTTGACAATGCGGTGTTCATTATTAGCAAAAACCAAGTCGATCATTGTCCGCGAGGTGTCAGTTATGCGCGTCGGTTCTTTTATTAACTGAGTGAAGTTGTAGGCCCGCGAAAAATTAAGAAGTTCTTGTTTATCTCTTTTTGGCAATTTAGAACTCACCATCATGTCTGCGTTTAAATCGCCTAGAATTACCACATCCGATTTTTCCAGATCCACAGATGACATACTCTCATGTAGCGAAGAAATAAAGGTCTGAAAGTCAGAATCCGGTGCTCTATAAGCGCAGCAGACGAGTGTTGGCTTGCATTTGTCTCTAATCAACTCAATCCATAGACATTCCTGACGGCCAGTATTAATATCATTCCGCAGGCGAAAAGCCAAACCTTCTCTCACATAGATAGCTACACCACCATATCCCTCTTTAATGCCAGTGCGATCCTGACGAACGCACACGAAACCAGGAAGATTAATTTCTGTGTCGCAAATATTCCCATCCAACCATGTCTCGGATAGAGTTAGAATGTCCACTGTTTTACTGTCGATTCCCTCAAGGCGCAAAGAGTCGGTCTTGTGTACGAGACTTCGTATGTTTAAGTGAGCAATTTTCAGTCCACGAGTGTTCCTTATGTCGTCTAGCGTCTGGTAGCCGGGGTTAGACTCGATATCGCCAGCCAGAGCAATTAGAGCTAGGGCGAAACAGGCTCGATGAAAGAGCTTACAAAGCATAACAGCTTTGAGCGAATTACTAAACTCTTTATCTCCGGGCGGATTCCTCTGTTGACGTAAATTACCCGCAATTTCAGTTCTGCAGCTCACTTTTGAGACAAAATACACATCACTGTCGTTTAGAAAAGTGCTCTTCTGCAGATATAAGGACTTGTAGTTTACAAAAGACACATAAATGCAGAGAAATATACAAATGTTCGCAGAGAGCCTGACTTTGCATCCGGCCGCCATGATGACGTGTATGACGTTCGTTCACCTAATTTGTGTAGTGTGTGAGCAATTTTGGAAAATTCATTTTTGACACCATTATTTCCAGCCAGTATTGATCCACCTAACAATTCCAATCTGTCCAGTAGGTCAGCTGGATTAATATAATAAACAACACCTGAGCCGATTTTTTTGTATTTATTACTAGTTCGATGAGTAGGAATATCACTTATTCTGTTCAGGTCGTCATATACCATTTTTGATAATGGCGAATACTTCTTTTTACTATTGAACCACTTTGTGAGCAGATCAAGGTTATCAAAGTCCACTTGCTTATCATATACTTCCTTACCGTCCTTATAAGCAATTAGTTTAAGCTGGCCATAAAGTTTGGGCACAGCAATCGTTATATTTCCGTAAACGCCAGTGTTGGGGTTAATCTTGTAAGCATTTCTCTTTTTTTGTGTGTAAATACCTTTCCAACCTTTAGAGTTTTTGTACCCTCCTCTAGAATGCCAATTCTTTGTCGGTACTTTCTAATAATCTCAATTCCTTTATCATACTCGGCAATCTGGTCCTCATTCTTCTTACTGGCAGTTTTTGTTGTGCTCAAATGGGCTTTTTTCCTGCCTAACTCCTTATTTATTTCACCAGATTTATCCAGAATTTGTTTCACATAACTTGGCTGTTTTAAGGTTTGCAAAAAGATGTCAGCTGGTAATGGCAATTGCTGGGTTTGTATGAATGCCAATTCTTCTTGAGTGAATCCTTTATTCAGATCAGCTACCATCGTAGGGGCCACCTCATCACTTGAGCCTGGTAATGCTAATCTTTGAACTTGTTCAGCATATGGGACAACTTGTTTATTAACATCTTCTCTCAATTTACTGATCTCCTCTATCTCCTTATGATACTTTTCTGTCAGAGGTTTCAGATCTTCAGATGTCTTTTCGTAAACATTCTGCTTATTAGTTCGGACTTCTTTTATAACATCCCTAACAACTTCAGTCATTTCTCCTGCTTCAATTTTAGGAATACTGAGTCTCTTGAATCTTTCAATATCCATTATACTATTGTGTTATATAAAACGTATCTCAACTTATCTGAACTTATTTCAAGTTATCTAACATAATAGTATATGGATATTCCAAATTATGATTTCAATGAAGACGAAAATACAAACTTTAAACAACTGTACAAGTACATGCACAAATCCAATTTTAGGATGCTAATTTGTGGCAATTCAGGGTCAGGTAAAACAAAGCTGCTTCATCACATCCTTATGAAACCATTAGTCTATTATGATCAGATTCATTTATACGGTAAAAACCTGGAACAGGAAAACTATCGACACATGATAGAAACAATGAATGACATTAGTAGTCAGGTTGGATATGACATAATGCATTGCAATAATGATGACATTAAACCTGTCAATAGTCTGGAGAGCGATGCCCAGAAAATTGTAATATTTGATGACTTCATTTGTGATAAAAACCAAAAGCTGCTTATCGATTATTTCATTCAAGGGCGACACAAGACCTGCAGTGTTATTTACCTTTCGCAATCATTTTATAAAACACCAAAAGATATCAGATTGAACTGTAGTCATTATGTTGTTTATGATTTCCCTAGCAGTAATGAGAGAAATATGATTTCTAGAGAGTTGAATGTAACAAAGGACCAGTACATTAAAGCCACCAAACAACCTTACTGATTCCTGTATGTGGATAAACCAATGAAGACTGTCAAAAGAAACTTTTATGGAAATATATTAATTTAAAATATCGTATTAGTTTTTCTTTGGTAGATAATTATATAACCAATAATATATGAAGGTACATTTGAAATTCAAAAGTCTCCAATATGCTCTAATGGCAACTGAATTGCTATATGATCTCCATCCTATAATATTGAAAGATATACTAGATATGAAACGGGCTCTTGGTTCAATTCTTGGACAAATTATCCAACCAAATCAAATAACCTACAAGCACAGAGAACAACTTACTAAATTAATATAATCTATTTATATGGAAGTATATCTGGAAATTGAAGATGTCAAATATGGTAGAATGATTGTTGAATTATTTGAAAATCTATCAGAGGGTTGTCTATATGAACTTCTTAATCACAAACATGAATCTTTAGAACAAGCTCGGATTATTGGCAGAGTTATTGGGATGGATGATCCAATTACTAATGAAGAAGCCAAGCTGTTAAAAGCAAATGGATTTCATGTAAGGGACATAACT